TGTTGTTGTTGTTGTTGTTGTTGTTGTTGTTGTTGTTGTTGTTGTTGTTGTTGTTGTTGTTGTTGTCACGTTATCCAAATGATTGTCTTTAAAATAAAAAAATATTACGAATATTATTTTTCATACATAAAAAGATAGTTTAAAAAATTAATTAGAATATAAAATTAGCATAAAAATCAAAATGTTAAATAGTTAAGAGTTATTATGGCTATGTTGTATTTATTATAAAATAATATATTTGTAATTATATTTTATACATTACAAGATTTTGTTTCAAATATCTGACATGTCACATAATGTAATCAAACTTATTTTTTTCTTTAAGGATTGACAATTTATTTCTATTGTAACCTACTTTTTGAATAAAAACATAGAACTGGTATTATTCATATTAAAAAGTTGATGAAAAAAATAATGAATATAAATCGTAAAAATAGTGAGATGTAAAAATGAAATAATTTATAAAGTATAGTTATGAGCATAAAAGTTGTAATTAAAAAAATTACAATAATAATAATAATTATAATAACAATATACTCCGTATTTTTTTAGAGTAATTTGTCAGAAGGTAGAAAAAATTTGAAGAAAGTAAAATATAGTTGGAAGAAATTAGAAGAAACTGGAAAAAATTGGAAGAAACTAGAAGGAACTGGAAGGACTGGAAAAAACTGAAAGAACGAGAAGAAACTGAAAGAAACTGGAAAGAACTGGAAAGAACTGGAAGTTAAGAGTTCAAGTCCTAAAGAACATGCCCTAAGTATGCAAATTTCTTGTAATAAAGGACCAAATTTAGCTTATAATAAAAGTAACTAAAATTTTAAGAAAAAATTACCCAAAATAATCTCAACTTTATCCGGTCTTTCAAAAATAATCCCACCTTTCACTGTGATGCATAATAATCCCAACTTTACTAAAATTTGTTAATTTTGGGTTGCCGTTAAGTTTCTAACGGAGGGTTAACGAAAATGTCCGTTTTGGGCAACAAAATGAAAATTGGGATTATTTTTGATAAATTTTCATTTTTTTCATTTTTTTAATTTTTTTTTAAATTTTTTAAATTTACTTTCTACCTCCATCATCATTTCTTTTTCCTTTTTTAAAGATTAGTCTTAGTTTAAAAAATTAAAATAATAGATATAAAAAATTAAAAAATGAGAAATGTAACTAAAATGATACAAAAATAATAAAATAAATTAGGTAATCAATGGAAACTAACTTGAAATTGGTAAAAGTAAAATAAAAATACATGGGTGGGTTTTAATATTTTACGTATTATACAAAGTATTAACATATCACATCCTTTTTATTAGAAAAATTATCTACAATAATTCTAATTTTACTGGACGGGTTGTTCTTTTAAAAAATGAGTAGTATATTAAGACTTCGTATAGTGTGTAAAATGTTAAAACCCACCACTCCGTATATATTTATTTTATTTCTTACCAGTTTCTGTTTAATTTCTATTGATTACATTATTTATTTGATTAATTTTGTATTGTTTTAGTTATTTTTCTCATTTTCATTATTTTTTATATCTATTTTTTCTAAGGTAAGAATAATCTTTAAAAAAGAAAAAATGGAGGTGGAAAGTAATTCAAAAAAATTAAGTAAAATTTAAAAAAAAAAATTAAAAACAAAAATTCATCAAAAATAATACCAACTTTCATTTTGTTGTCTAAAACAGGAATTTCCGTTAACCCTCCGTTAGAAATTTAATAGCGACTCAAAATTGGCAAATTTCAATAACGTTGTGATTATTATGCATCACAGTGAAAGGTGGGATTATTTGTGAAAGACAGAGTAAAGTTAGGATTATTTTGGGTAATTTTTCCAAATTTTAATTTCAAATGAGCAAAAGAACTGAAGGTAACAATTAAAACCATCTTTCTTTTCAAAAGTTACAAGTCGAAGTTTTTATAGTTTCTAAATAGAGGACTGAAAGAATAGTGTAAGAATAATGAATTGGGAGAAATTCTCTCTCGATTTCTTGTGCTCAATTTACAAAGTAGACATGTATATATAGGCTCTCACAGGTTGAGAAACCTAATCACAAAAGGAAACGAAATCAACCCTATACAAGGAAGCTACCAAAAATAATATATACACAAATATCTCCAAATATTCTACCAAATATTTCTTTTCTTTAACACCCCCCCTCAAGTTGGAGCATGTAATAACGAAATGCCCAACTTGGGAAGAAGAAACTCCAAACGTGACTTTCCGAGTGCCTTTGTATGAATGTCTGCAAGCTGATGCGTAGTAGGCACATGAAGTGTACGAATCTCTCCTCGCAAGAGCTCATCACGAACGAAGTGACAATCAATCTCAATGTGCTTCGTGCGTTCGTGGAAAACCGGATTAGCAGCAATATGAAGTGCTGCCGTGCTGTCACACCGGACCGTCATGGGGTTCTTATGCTCAACCCCTAAACACCGCAATACATTCTTCAACCACTTCAACTCACATGTAAGGACAGCCAAAGCTCTATACTCTGCTTCAGCAGACGAGCGAGCCACCGTCGACTGCTTTTTTGTTTTCCATGAGACAGGCGAGTCTCCAAGCTGCACAAACCACCCTGTCAGTGACCGCCTCGTCAAAGGACATGCTGCCCAGTCCGAATCACACCATCCTGTGAGTTGAAGACTACTCTCTGCTGACAGAAAAATGCCCTGACCCGGACATCATTTCAAATAACGAACAACTCTAAGGGCCGCAGACCACTGATCCTCCCTTGGTTCCTTCAAAAATTGTGCTAAAGTGTGGACGGCGTAAGAAAGTTCTGGTCGTGTAACGGAGAGATAGACCAACCTTCCTACCAACCGTCGATATGGCTCTGGATCTGCAAGAAACAGGACCTGGGAACGAGCCAAGTGATGATTTGGCTCCATCGGGGCACCCAACGGCCTGACACCTAACAACCCCGCCTCAGTGATGATATCTAAGGCGTACTTTTGCTGGTAGAGAAAAATCCCAGACGTGCTCCTCGCCACCTCAATGCCAAGAAAGTATTTCAGTGTTCCCAAGTCCTTCATATGAAAACATTCTCCGAGATAAGCTTTGAACTTGCTTACCATCTCTGTATTATCTCCAGCAA